AAAAATAGTATCCCATCAAGATTAAAGTTCTTCTGTTAAGGAAAAGTCAGGTTCCACTCCACCCACACAGACAACTTGAACTGACAAAGTGGAGGGGCAAAGGCAAACTAAGCTTTTCCTGTTTCCATAGGGAAAGCGGGACAGGAGGCGGTGGGGGGCACCGAGGGGTTGCTGAGGCCCCAGTACAGCCTGACCATGGGTGGGTGAGGCTGGTTCTCCGTCCTCTGAGTGCCGCACTGCATACCCAGCATGACGCATGGTGCCAACGCCATGTCCTCACCGGAAACCAAAGATCCACCGAAATATGATTACCACTGGCATGACTGAATAACCCACTAGCTCAGAGTGACACATGGCAGCACTAGCATTACATGCCTCTCTGGAGTTCACCCAGCCTCGGCCACTGCCACCAATGTCTAGATCCTGCTCACCTGCCTGGTCCAACACTATCTCTGTGAACATTGTAAAGCAAATCTCAAACATCATATTCAATCATTTCACCCGGGAATACACACCAGTATCGTTCAAACCTTTTGAAAAAACACACAACCACAATACCATCATTGCATCTGATACAATGAATAACTTACCAATACAACCTAATATACAGTCACTTTTCCATTTCCTCTGTCAAAAATACCTTTGTACAGGTGGTTCGTCTGAATCAGGATCCAAACAAGGTCTACACATTGCAAGGAAGTCTCTCTTAGACTGTAATAGTTCCCCCGCCTTTTTTTAAAATTCCAGTTCCTTTTTGAAACCAATCACTTGTCCTGCAGACGTTCCAACATTCTGGGATTGTATCCTCAGGTCATCATTTTACACATGGTCTCCTGTGGACCCCTCACCGCCCTTTCCCTGTAAACTGCTATTAGATTGGGGTGCTGGCCAGAGCCAGTCCCACTGTGTGGCGAAAGCACCTCCCAGGCAGTGGTCCCCACTTCCGCCCGCAGGTCAGGCCCGATGGCAGCCGCCCCAACTTGTGCAGTGTGAAGACACCCGGCGGGTCAGCTGCGACCGGCCTGGCTCCCATCGTAAGGTCCCCTTCAGCTCTCCCACCCACTGCTTCCAGCAGCCATGTGTGGGGGACTGCTGCCCAGCCCCACAACTTCACAGGAAAAGGTAACCCTCCCACTCCCTCACTCCTGCCTGAGCAGTCATCTACAGTGACAAGCGCCCCGTCACATGGTCACCCGGAAGTGCAGTCAGGACAGCAGAGGCAGGGCAGGCGAGCACTCTTTGGAGTCTCCTTCATTTGCCAATTCTCAGAATAATGAGTGGCTGCCCAGAAATCCCCAGAGGTGACCATGAGCCTGTCAGGATTGTTATGACGGTGAAGACATTCGTATATCTGATGTGTTTTAGTCCAGTGCGGTCATTTTCTTTGTGTAGCGGACACAGCTCCGTCCCTGGCCCATGGCACTCCTCCACTGGCTCCCATGCGGCCTTCATAGGACCCCGCTGGCCTCCCAGCCTCCTCGCTCTCAGACACGGGATGTGGACACATCCTGTGCTGTTCCTGCCCCAACCACGATTCTCCAAGGAGCCCAGTTCCATTCAGTGGGAGATGCTGTCGGGAACCCACTGTCCAAGCATTATGGGCGCCAATTGCTCTGGGGCTGCCAACCTTATTGAAAAGTGCAAATACTAAGTTTACAGCAACCTCTACCTTTAATGTAAACATGGATGTCATTAAATTCAGGTAAGAAAATAATCCTACCCAATATGGATGTGATCCTCAAATTTTTAGGAAAAAAAACCCAAAACACCTACCTGTTGTAATACATGTGCTTCTGAAAATTTTTACTTAAAAATTCCTTGTAAAAGTCAGCCATTTCTTCTGCATTCAATGTTGCTTTTTGACCTGAAAATAAATTTCAACTTAAACATTAATACTTAAGGGAAAGGAACTCACAACTATTGATCTAAAAAACGAGTTTAGCAAGTCTGCAGGATACAAGATCATATACACATGTCAACTGTATTTCTGTACACCAGCA